GTTGTATTTTTTGAAAGTGCAATAACTTGGTATTTTGAAGACCCGGCGTGTGGCCAGGAACCCCTGCGGGAGGCGGGGGCCCCAGAGTGCGGCACCGTGTGGCGTGGGGGGGTCTCAGTTTTCTAGCCAGCTACCTCGGTAACTCCAATTCAGGTTAACTTCCCTACGGAACAGTGCAGATGTCCACAGACACCGCCGGCCCCTCACTCAGCGGGGCAGGGAGGGTGGCCACGTCCCAAGGGGCAGCAGGGACTCCTGCCCCGGCCTCTCCATTTGGGGTGGGCCGTTGCCCCTCTTCTTGCTCTTGGGTTTTCCGACGGGTATGAGGCCTGCCCGGCACCCCTTCCCCAGGACCCTCTCGTCTTCCAACAGGCCCCGGGTGGGTGGCTGCCCTTCGGCTCCCAGGCACCCAGCCCACCTCGGGGGTCCAGTGACCCCGGGGCTCCCACAGCTGCCCCAGATGCCTCCAGGGACCCTCAGCCGGGTACCCGGTCCCCTGCCCAGCATCCTTGCCCCCTCCCCCTGGGGACCACGCTTGGTTCTCCAGGCCACTTCTGCCCACTGTTCTGTTTTTGCTTTTGACCTCCCTCCCCCACACCCCTAGCCCCCAAATAATTCCCCTTTGTATCAACAGAACTCTCCTAGTCAGGAAGCAATATCATTTCAGGTCTAAAGAAGAAAGGGACAGCAATCTGGTCGAGGGCAAATTCAGTTTTACTGTATAAACTCGGTTGCGCAGTTCGGCCCCCCCACCTGCACTGGCAGCTGGGGGCCACTGTTTTCTAATATTTGTATTCTAATTTAATTGTTTTTAAAAAACGCAAATAAAAAAGATCCAGGTGAAGCCACCGAGGCGTCCGCTTCTCTGTGCGTCGGGGCGTCGCTGGGGTGAGGGGAGCAGAGGACCACAGCTCTGTCCCGTGCCCGCTTCTCCTTCCCTTTCGCCACATGAGATTCAGGATTCGAAAGACACAGCGTTGGGTCAGATGAGGAGGAGGTCACTTGGAACTGCCGGGTCCCGTGTCTCTGCTGGGCTGGGCCAGGAATTCAGACTGCCCGAATCCCAGGGTTGTCCCTGCCCCCCGGGTGGCAAAGACACACAAATGGCCAATAAGCTCCCAGAAAGATGCTCATCATTAGTCACCAGGGACACGAAAGTCACAACCCCGAGATGGTACCTCACCCCACCGGGATGGGAGAATCAAGAGCAAGTGCTGGTGAGGACGGGAGGAACCGGAACCCTCACGGACGGCTGGTGGAAATGGCAGCCGCTTGGAAACAGTCTGGCGGTTCCTCAAAAGGTAAACCGTGGAATTACCGTCTGACCCAGCAGTTCCACTCCAAGGAGAAATTCCACTCAGGAGAAATGAAAGCATAGGTTCATAGAAAAATTGTGCACACGTGTTCATAGCAGCAGCATTCACAATAGCCCAAACGTCCTCAAATAGTGGATCTGTACAGCTGTATGCTGGAATATGATGCAGCCATAAAAAGGAGTGAGGCCCTGACACAGCCACACCGTGGATGGACCTTGAACACACGATGCTCAGTGAGAGAACCAGACACAGAAGGACACACGGTGTGTGATTCCATTGATGTGAAGTGTCCAGAACAGGCAGATCCACAGACAGAAAGTGGGTTCATGGTTGTCAGGGGCTGGGGAGGGGATGGGAGTGACTGCAGATGGGGACAGGACTTCTTTTTGGGGTGATGGAATGTTCTGGAACTAGTTACAGGTGGTGGTTGCCCAACTTTTCAAATATGCTAAAACCACTGGTTTCACCGGGGTGGATTGTGTGTGACTATCTCAATTAAAAATCACAGCTTTGCTCCGTCTTAGCGGAGGGGACATGGCAGCACGAGGGAGGAGGCCCACGCTGGCTGAGTGGCTGGTGAACCTGCTTCCTTCGCTGTCCTGATCAGATACGTCTGGGCTCCCTCGTGGCTGGCTCAGGTCCCCTCGGGGTCCGGCTGTGGCATGGCTGGCCCCCGCCCCCCCGCCCCCACCCAGCCCAAGCTGGACACCTGGGTTCAAATCCTGTGTCTGCAGCCACACGACCACGTGAGTGCAGATGGGTAAGTGACCTTGCGGCTGAGGGAGGACTCCCAGAGCCGTCACCCCATGTCACTCCACAGAGCGCGGCTCGTCCTCTCCCAGGCCGTGCCGTGGCCATCTGTGCCCCCTCAGTGCCCTCCAAGACCCGCTCCCACTCCAGGCCCTGCTGGCCTGAGCCTCACTGGGGGACAGGAGGGAGGAGGGCTCTCCCAGGGGCCCTGGAAATGGCCACGTTTGGTGACCCCAACCCAGAGGTGGGGGCTGCAGCCCAGGACCCCCATCCCCAGCGAGTGGACTCCAGCTCGACTTCCCCCCAGGGGATGTGGGGGAGCAGCCAGCTCAGATACCGGCTTGTGTCATCAGGGCTCAGCGTGGGGCTGCACCTGGGGGCCTCTGGCAGACTTGGGGTACCCCAGCCAAGGTCACCCTGCCCAGGGCCTCCAGAAACCCTGGAGTTGGTGACCGAGGAGCCCGCCCAGCTGGTTCTCCCTGCCCGCCCGCACCCTGGCCCCTGCCCGCGCTGTTCCTGGGGCCCCTTCCTGGTGCCACCTACCCGCCCCCCGGGGGCTGTGGTCACCTCCTCCGTAGGGTCCCCAGGCCTGGCACTGCTGGGGACACCCACCCCACCCCCGGAGCCCAACCTGCAGGGAAGGGCCCCCCACAACCCTCCAACCCCGTTCCCCAGCCTCCCCCCACCAACAAAACACAACATCAAAATCAGGCAAATGAGGCAGCAGCGGTCGTAACAGGCTGCGTTTAGTGGTTTTTTTTTTTTATGTACAAGAAAAATGACTTTTTTTGTCCGTTTTTTCATCATCTTTTGTCTTTTTGTTTTTTTTTAATTACTTTTAAAGCTTCTCCCCCCACCCCCAAAAAGTGCATTTTTATCAACTGATTTTGTTTTTTAAATCTCCCACACTTTATAAAGACTCTCAGGTACAGTCTCTGGAATGTCTGCTCTGTGCTGTGCCCCCAGCCCCCCAGTCGCCAGGCCTGGCCCCCCAAAGTCCAAGGCACCTCGTGTCTGGGCCTGGGTGGGGCAGGGGGGAACCTGGGCCTCGAGACCCCTGGCCGCGGGATGGGGGTCCCCCCAGCCCCCCCTGTCTCCTGGCCCTGCCCCCCGCCCCCCCATGTAAATCTGTGTATTTAGTGCTAGCTAGTCTTAAAACTCTGAGGTTGTGGCTCCTGGGTGCCTGAGCCCCCAGGCCCCTGACCCGTCCTGCACCAGCCAACCCCCACCCCCGACTCCAGGAAGGCTGCTTCCCCAGCTTAAATAACTTGTTAAAATAAAACTGCAAATATAAATATCTTTCTTTCTCAAAAAATAGGATTTTTGCTTTTTTTTGTAGGTTTTTAAATTTTTTTATTTCCTGCTTTTCAAGCACTCCCTCTGTGTCACCTCCTACAACCCCGGCTGCCCCGGTGCTGGGGGACCCCCAGCCCCTGCCTGGGTCCCACCGCGTGCCACGCGGCCCTCCCGCCGTGGCCGAAGGGTCTAAGTAGTGAAAAGTCTCCCCCGGAAGACCCTGGAAGGGGCCGGGGGACCCTCCCCTCCCCTAAGACCCCCCTCGGAAGGAAGCGGACAGCCATGCACAAACAGGGTGACAAGACGGCGGTCACATGGGGTCTCCTGGGCGAGCCGCCCAGGGGCCGACTTTGGTGTGGCCCACTGGAGCCCGCTGGGCACAGGCCCACGACCGTGCCAGGCTGGGCCTGGGCCGGCATTTTACATTCACTGGTTTTGAAATTTTGTATTTTTATCGTTTTTATTTTTTTGCCTTTTTTTTTTTCCCTCAATCTCAAAAGGCAGCGGTGGGGCGGGGGGCTAGGCAGGGGGCAGCAGCTAAGGTGTTAATCTCTCTTTCCCGGGTCCCCAGGCTGGTGCCCGCTCCGGGCGGGGGCTCCGGCCCCCCATCCCGCCAGGCCCCCCAGAGCCTGAGCTCGGAGGCCCCGCCTGGGCCTCACTCGCGCACACACGCGCACACACACATCCACGCAGCCTCACCAAGAGGATGGAAATCACAATTCCGCTTTGTTTTTCTTTTTTCTTTTTTTTTTTTTTGTACCAGGCAGTTAAAAAAAAAAAACACCCCCAAAAAAAGAAAACACAAAAAAAAAACCCCCAAACAACCAAACAAAAAAACGTTCTCCTGTGTCCTTTCTGACTGGTCAGCACGCTCCCCCTCAAAGATTTGTTTTTTGTTTGTTTGTTTCCTGAAACTCGAGAATTCAGCAGTATCTTTGGCAACACTTGATCACGACCTTAATTTAAAGAATAAAAATAAAATCGATCCACGTCTATATACAGTATGTGATTGCAGGGAGTTGGGGGGGCTGGGTGGGCGAGTGGGGGTCCCGGCGCTGGGCCCATGCAGACGCTGCAGCCCCCGGGACAGGCTGGCGGGAGGCAGGAGCGGGGTTAAGGCGGAGGAGGGGGGCGGGGCTGGCAGAAGCTGAGCGCAGAGCTAGGCGCAGGGGTTTAGTGCAATTCCCGAGGAGGTTTATGTTAAAGTGTGCTCGGCGGGGTTGAGCCCTTGCCCCCGCCGTAGTCCTCAATCCCCCAAGTCCGGTCGCCCCCACTGGCCAGGATGACAGCTGTGATTTTTCAGTTGGTTTTATTGCGAGGGGGTGTGTGGGGAGGGGGGAGAGGGCCGTCCCCTCAGGGAACCTCTCTGGGAGCCAGGGTGGGGTGGGGGTGGGGTCCCTGGCCTGGGCGCTTGAGCTCTCTGCTCGGCCTCCGCAGATGGGTCTCCGAAAGAGCTCACCCCTCACTGCTGGGGTGTGACGAGGCCACCGGGCCCTGGGCTCCCCTGCCACTCCCTCAGGAGGGGGGGTCCTGAGACATCTGGGGGCTGACAGGCTCGGGAGAGAAAGAAAAGTCTCCTATAGAAACAACAATGAAAGTTGCCTTCTTAAAAAGCTTCCCTTTAAAAAAAAAAAAAAGAAAAAGAAAAGACAAGAAGACAGGGTTTGTCACAGAGCAAGGGGGTCCCGGGGAGACGGGCCAGCGGCTGGAGGGGGGATAGGGGCACCCCCACCTCGGGCTCTGACGAGGAAGGGCCTCAGCTCAGCGGAGCATCTATTTACAGGGTCCCACGCTAGGCGTTGCATATGCGAGAGGGGGTTGGGTGAGGGTGCCCTGGCCTCCGGCATCGTGGTCCCCCCGCCCCTGGCCCCTGTCCGTGGCCTGTGGCTCGGCCAATGCCGGGCCTTTGGGGAGCCAGGGGCTGGGGGGAGGCAGTGCCAGCCCCCAGATTACAGTCAGTGCCTTTGAGTAAAAAGAGGGGTGCCTGGGGGGGTGTAAGGCCCTGGAGGTGGGGCCCCCGTCACCCACCTCGATGGGGATGGCATATCCAAGATGGTGGCTCCTTGGCGGCTACAAGGAAGGGCCACCATGTTGGAGGGTGGGAAGCCCCGAGGTGGGCAAGGGGACAGCAAGGGTCGGGGACAGGTGGGGGACTGGGTGCTCTGGCTGGTTGGAAAGCCAGCCGTCTCTCGGGCCCATCCCTGAGCTGGGGAGTCGGTAAGGAGGGTCTCCACGGACATGGGGGGCCACGGTATGGCTAGTGAGCGACAAGCATCTCCAAATCAGAACCAAAAAAGGGACAGGATGGGGGGGAAGTGGGGGGACACGGCAGAAACACAAAAACCCCAGAGGCCTGTCTGCGAGGCGAGCCCCCCGGTTCACCCCGGACCTCCGAAGACCCTGCCCAGCCTTCCTGGCCCCTCCTCGCCTCAGGGAACAGAAGTGGATTCTCCGTCTGCGGTGGGTTTTTTTTTTTATTATTTTGTACAAAAATAAATCAGCTTTCAGGAATTTCTTTTAGCTCTCTCTCTCACTCTCTCTCTCTCGCTCGCTCTTTTATTTTTTTTTTGTCTTTTCGACTTTTCATAGAAGTTGGTTGCAACTTGTAAACACGTTTTTAAATTAAGAATTAAGATAAAGTGTAGTACCCGTTCTGTTTCAAAGTGCCAAGACTTCTATTGGTGGTTGGTGGTCTTTTTTTTTGTTGTTTTTTTCTGTTTTTCCTTTCGTTTTGTAAAATCTGGGTTTTTATTGCTTTTGTGACATTGGAACTTCTGGACACTCTCCCCTCATCCCTGCCACCGGGGGACCCTGGGTTCCCTCTGCTGTTGGCTAGTTCACCCCACGCTGTTGCCTGCTCCTCTGAGGAAAAGTATATTTTTTTAATATATATATATATATATATCTATATATAAATTTTGTTTTTAAAGGAGGAAAAAAAAAATCTAAAAAGTGCTTTAAAAACGGGAGGGGGCTCAGGGGGCGGGGAGGGGGGAAGACAAAGTTTTCAATCTCCAAACATCTCTCGGGGGTCCGGGCAGCCTGGGTCGGGGGGCGCAGACGGGGGTGGCGGGGGCGCCCCACGAGGGGGCCCCGCTGGGGTGTAAGTGCCATCGAGGGGGCGCCCCCGTGTCCCCCGTCTTGTCCCCTTTCTCTGCGCCTGGAAATAAATAGACTGGCGTCCCAGCGGCCGGGAGATACGGAGGCCACAGCGGGGAGGGGAGGGCAGGGGAGGCGGGGAGGCCGTGGGGGGGATCAAGCGGGGAGACCCCCACTTAGTAAGTGCCCTGAGGAAGGAGGCTGGGGGACGGGGTGGGGGGGTGCATTTTAACGTCCACTCTCAGCGGACAGCCATCATTTAAGGTCTTGTCTCGAAGACTCGGAGAAACCAGCGAGGGAGGAAATGGACAGCCACCCGGGGCCCCCCGATCGGGCCCACGCCGAGCCCCGAGACCCTGGGGCGGGGTGGGGGGCCCCCCGAGAAAGCACTATCTAGATTCGGCGGCGCGCCGCGCGTGTGGGTCTGCATATGCGTCTCGAGATATGGGGTCTGGACACGGAGCGGCTCCCGGGCGTGCGGTCTGGGGCGCGGGGGGCCTGCCCTCTCGGGGTCCCGTCTGCTCTTTGGCGTTCAGGCGAGTCCGGCCGCCACGCTGCCGTCGGCGGGGGCCCCGTCGCCCGCGCCC